GCCCTCAGCTCCTCCACGCTTACAGCCTGCACCGTGCCCATGCAATGGATGGCATGGGCCAGTCCCACCAGAAGGACCATGTGCTCTCGCTGACCACTCCTGTCTCCTTGCCTGACAGCCTAAAGGGGACAAGTTACTTTTTAAAAACTGGTGAGCTGAAGGAAAGGCTTGGTGGACTCTGACCTTTTTAGGCTTATGCTAGACACAGGACTGTTGATTGAACAACTTGGAGATCTAAGCGTTGATCATAAACCAGGTGTTAAAGTATCAGGCTGATTGCAGACAAGTGCCAAACATTGCTCCCGGACACAGGAAACAAGTCCAGCAGGTCATCCAGTGTCTTGCAGGTAGACAGTCTTGGAGAGCAAACCTTTGCCCACAGACTACAATTGACCGCAATCTTCCAACTGGGCGTATCTGTGAGTCACTTCACTCCAGACCTTGTGTGGGGCAGGAGAACCTCGCTCCAATGTAAACATACTGGTCCATATAATGGGCACATTTTACGCGGCTGACAAGCTGCCGGGTTTGCTCACTGCCTGCCTCCAGAGAAGTGTTCCTCATTGTTCGTGAGGAGACAAATAGAATCTGTTATTGAAAGCAATTACCACAAACACTTAGCACCATCACTTCCTGCACTGAGTGGCCCTATCTTCTAATAATACTTTCTTCATTAATCTTGTGTCCATGTCTAACAACTCCTTCAGCCTCTATAGTGGAAGGCATAGCCCAGTGCTGACAAGCTGCCAGTGAGGCCTCACTGCTCGCTGTGCCCCATGGGGACTGCACAGGCACTGCTGGAATAAAACTGCAGCAGCAACTGCTGCTGCTCTGCTCTGAGCCAGGCCAGGGAACCCAGTGCTCTGGCAACCGGCACAGCCCAGGTGGCCGCAGCCTGGTGCGGTCCCAGGAGACCTGTCTTCTGTTTCTGGCTCCATCACTATCCTCGGGAAAATTACTTCGGCCTTCTGTTTTCTTTCCCACCCTTTTGTATTTAGACTATGATTTTTCACCTCAGGTTTATGATTTGGTTTTCTTTAGTTTGGAAGTAAAAATTATCTTAGGGTAGAAGCATTTCGAAGAGGCAAGGGGAAAAAAGAAAAGAGGGGGTGAAAGAGAATGTACTCTGTTCTCAGTAACAAAGTATGTTGGGAAAGAGAACAGTACAGTTAAATAAACACTCCCTGAGGCAGAGGTAGGTGAGTTTTCTAGTACAATATGAAGTAAAGGGGAAAAGACTTGCATTAGCAGGTTATGAAGCTGCTCAGTGGGATGCTCTGATGGGAGGCATCTGGGGGCTAGTGTGCAAACCATGGCACTCCCCACTGCAGCCCCGGTTGCAAAGTATCTCCCTTTAGACCCTTTGCAAGCTTCAGAAGTGGCATAGGAGATGGCAGGGAGCAGGATGACAGCCCCCCAGATGTATGGCCTTTAGTTAGCTCAGAGCTCAGTGTCTTGGCAGCAACATGTGGCCACTGGGAAACTGCAACCAAGTAAATACCCTGATAAGATGGGAAGCTGCTGCAGCTTCTCCTGCCAAGCAGCTCCTGCTTCCCAGCAGGCAGTGGTCCCTGAGGCACTCAAATGACCGCTCACCCCTGAGTTACCAGCCAGGCCTGAGAGGAATGGCCTGGTGTGGGGATGCTCACCCCCAGTCCTTCAGCTGCAGCTGAGCACCCCTGAGCTACACAGTTGACCTCTTTACACATGCAACATTGGACACACCAAAGCCTGGTTTGGGATTCCTGCGTGTTTCTGTAAAAGTTATAATAAAACCTGTATCTGCAAGGCAAGCTGTAGCTACAGATTGATTCCTCCACCACACAACCTGGTCATGCTGCTATTTATATTATATATATAAAATGATTCACTGAGAATAGGCCAAAGATTCTCAGACTGTGACCTGCACACCACTGGTGCTTCACCAACCACTCCTCTTCTGTGATACCGGGGCCCTCTTTTGCAAGTGGCTTAGCTTAAAAGATAAGATAGAATGAAAATATAATCTTCAACAGGCTTTTAAAGCAAAACTCTAGTAGGTATAAAAGATAATGCATGTAATTAAATCAGTACCTATTAAGTAATATAATTTGCCAAATATACTGTAAATACTTTGAAAGCAATAACTAAAATACTAAAATATTTATATTTCTGTGAATTTTTCAATAATATGATACCCAATTAATCATAAAATTAAGTATTTTACTATTTCTGCTAATATCTGCAGACATCACTTAGTTGGCTATCCTGTGACAGTGTACTCTACAGCACAGGAATTTACTTCTTACATTGTTCACAGAAAATGAACATACGTCACACATAAAACAAAAGGCATTGCTACCAAATGACAGTCCTTATTGTCTTCTAAATATAACGCAACTATTAAATACACATAAAAATTGGGGAAAATGCTGTGTTAATTTAATGTCATTAAGTCAATTAAATAAAATTAAGTTAAACTAACTGAAGTATTATAATTCTGATATTTTCCAACTACTAGATGGGTTTGACACATGCAAGTACTTGAAGAAGGAAGAGTTTAAAACTTACATCCAAATCTTATAACAAAGAGCCACAATCTCTCAAAATCACAGAAAAAAAAGCAATAGTGAACACAACAGCAAATCCATCAGTATTAAACAAATCAGTATATATACTAAGTGAATACACATCATTCACACTCCTCCAGTGCCTCATTTTCTCACCTATTTTCTGCGAGATGCAAGGACGTGGATTCTCAGAAATGGTACCCAAGCCTAACAGTGACCCACATAATTCCTAGCTGCACACTCAAGCCATTTCTAGAGTCCTTCTGTGCAAAAATGTTAACTCACTCTCCCAGATGTCATGTATACCACAGCATGGAGACTCTACATTAAACATTTTGACATCATCTGCAATTACGTCTGCTGCCTCAGACACCTCCAGAACTTTTTTCTGACATCTTCAGTGCTTCAGAAGTGTGGGAAAATAACAAATGGTGTTCATACGCATCTGTACTCTCCAAAGGAGTCCAAAAAGCCGCCAAATAATTCACTGACTTTTTTTCAGCCGTTTGGGAGATTTTTCCCTGCCAATTTCCTATCGCACAGCACAGTCAGCCACAGGCAACTTCACACACAAAAATGCCTGAGCTGTGTGTTGTGTAGTACCTGAAGCACCAGTTTGTTAAACAGTTTTACTTACTCCTCATAGCCTCAGCCATCTGAGGCACATTTTCACCACCACTTGTTTGCAGTACACCGTAGTGAACTTCCACTCACCATTTGCACGTTCTGGCAAAATGTGCTTTTTTTCCCTGCAATAAGGAAGCAGAGAAGGATACCTTGGCTAAAAGTAATTTTTCTCCCCCAGTACTTAAACTGCTTAAATTTTTGGCAGATGACCATCCCTTGCAGCATTTGCGTTTGTTTTGCACAGCATACGTTTCTGCATTTTTAAAACTTTGGCTTTATGGCAATTTCTTTCCCTGTTCCTGGCAGTATTAATACTATATACTAAATTTACCTGTTGAAACATATGGTCTCTGGCTTTCTTATCTCCGACTGTCAAAGTTATTTCTCTTCCACTTCATTTGACCAGTGCTTTTGAGGAAGTTGCTTGGAGCGACAGTCTCATTTCTATCTCATTTTCTAACACCACTCAAACAGTTTTACAATTATAGTTGTACCAGCATTAAAAGCTTCTGTTAATGCACCTATGTCAATAGACTTCATCCTAAACAGCTGCACTGCTCAAATGGAACACGGGGTTGTATCACAGGCTGCGCTTGAGTGAGGCAGAAACATCGATAATTTTTTATTTTGAAGTACAGCTAGAAACAAAGCAGGGAGAAAGTCGTCACTTTGCAGCATCAGTCGTTCCGCTAATCGTACTAAGAACTGACACCAGCTCCAGTGTCCGCGCATAAAGGCACAGCTTTTGTGACTGCGAGCTGTGAGCCCGTAGCTTGCGTTTCCCATCACTTCTCACCTCCAAAACCGCGTCACATGCCACGTTTATATTTTTAACATTTTTAACCAGTCGAGCCTCCAAGAGCCAACTTCAAGGAGCACTGAAAAGCGCCAAGAGCATGTGCCGAACAGCGGCGGGCTCCGGGCAGGGGACACGGGGGAGTTCCCCTTTCCCGCCTGGACGGTGCATCCATCCCCACTGCCGGCCACCCTCTCCCACCACCCGCGGCAACGG